CTGGGGCTCTCACATGAGCCCAAACACTAGATGTTTCGGTTGCTGGTTACCAAACTTAAGTCCGCCCACTTAACAAGTGCACTTAACAAGTGTACTGGCTCCCACAAGCATAAGAGCACTATTGTAAGTGAGCTGGTGAACCATCTCCTCACACCTAGTTGTACTTCCCTAATGGTGTATGTGGGAATTGAGCTCTTGCTTTTTGGTCCCACTTCTCACCTGTCAATCGCTAGTGTGTGGGTTCCTGAGCCTGCTGGGCTATATCATATCTATGCTTGCAGCTGTGTGTGGTGTCATCCTCCACCACACCGCTTCCTCATGCATCCCCTTTGTCTCCTACTCTGACACTGCGATACATCTTTTCAACGTATCTGTGGCTCATTTGGGCTCTCATTCCACCTGTGTCCCCTGGTGCGTGTGCCCCTGGGGTCCCATAGTCGGTCTTTCTCTGCCCTATCACATCCTTTGAGGATCTTGAATGTGGTGATCATAATCCCGTAGCTCGTACTCTTTGGTTCGGGTACTGGTCTGGTACCTTTGCACCCCTTTTCCATTTTGTCTTGTGTTGAGACGTGACGAACAACTGTGTGTTGTTGGCGTAGCTTGGTGGGACATGACCAGCGGCTGTGTGTGTTGTTGGTCGTGTCCCTTTCATTCCCATTTGCTCCTTGCCTTCTTCTTTCTTCATCTTCCTTCTACACTCTTATCCTTGGCCGTTGGTGCAGGGCTGTTGGGCTGTTCTTCTGGTCTTATCTTGTGTTTTCCGTTTTCTTTTTTTATCCTACTCATTGTTGTGTGTTTTCTTTGTGTCTTTTGGCTCTCCTATTGCCAGGTTTTGGTTCCTGTTTTCGTGGCTTACCCTGCCTGTTGGCATTTTCATGGTCTCGCGGTCATTTTCTCATTTTCATGGTCTTTCTCTAGCATCTTGCATCGAACCCATCGTCTCCGATCTCCTGGCGGGCTCGCTGGCATTGGGATGTTTTTCTGTACAGCAGACGTTCCATCTCCTCCTTTGCCGGCTTGGGTTACCGGCTCTGCTGGCTCCGTAGACGCACCCAAGATCTTCCTGTAGCTCCGCCTCTTCCTAGGCTCAATTGGTCCATGGCGGGGCTGGTTTGGTTCTGCCTCTAGTCTTTCACCTTCTGTTGGTGATCGGGTGGCTTCGTTGAAGGTGTCCCACCTGCGTGCTTCTTCTTGGCGGCAGTGTGGGGGTTTTTTGGTGGTCCTTACTTTTCCTTCTGTCCCTTCTTAGGTAGCTGCATTTGTTGGCATGGTCTTGTCCTCCTCTTGTGGGGGTTCGGGGCCGTCATCTTGCCCGATACTGTCGCCTCGTGTCGTGCGGCGCTGGCGGAGCCGCTTCAGCTTGCTTTCGGTATTGATGTTACGTTTGTGCCATTTCGCAAGCTGTCTCGTGCATTGTTCTCCTCCGGCCTGCTCATGCGCCCCCCTGAGCCGTCCTGGTCATTGGGCAGGGTGCTCTCTTTTTCCATCTTCTCAATGGTTTGTTGTGGCTCCTTCGATTCAGGTTTGTTTCTCGGAGGCTCTCTTTCTGTTGGCATTGGCCTCTGGGGGTTGGGTCAGAGTACTTCATGCTCTCCTCCAGCGCAGGGGTTAAATGCTCCTTCGGTCGTAGCGATAGGTTTGTTCGTCTGCAGCTGTCTCCTTTTTTTCTGGCAAAGATTGAGACTGCTGCTTTCCAGAGGGGTCTTTCAGTTGTTGATGCTTGGTTGGTCGGGCTGGGAGTCCATTGTGTTTTGTGCCCTCCACCGTTCTTTGCGCACCACGGCTTCTATATCCGGGGACACGCTTTGGGTTAATCCGGTTTCCCTTCTTCCCTGTTAGCGAGTGCGGGTCTTCCTGGTCATCCGCTGGGTTCTTACGACTTGCCAGCCTTCGGTCTATCCTCGTGCCCATGACGTTCGCAAGTTCGCTGTTCATGCCGCTGTCCTTAGCGACGTGTCCTGGACTGACATTCAGGTGCGGAGATTTTTGGCGGTCGAACAGGGTCCTGGCTGCTCGTTACCTCCTGAACATTCCTGGGCCTAGTCAGGCCTGTGTCGCTTTAGGTTGGCGGTTGCAGCCAATTGTCTCGACTTCGAGTTGAGAAGTGAGCAGCGACCACCTCCCGGGTATGTCCCTCTACTTTCCTCTGTGGGTAGTGTCACGTGGGGGTGGGCGGTCCGGGGCTCTGCTAACACTCGGCCACTAGGGGCTCAAAGGCCCAAATACTCAGCCCCTCCGACTCCCTGGATTCACCGGAGTCTCCTTGGTCACACAAGAGAGGACCAACAATGCCCACCTCCGCAGGTCTTTGCTTCCACCACAAAGGGGTGCCACTGATTCACCCTGGAAGCCCTTCAGTCAAACACGGGGAAACTGCTGTTAACAGTTCCGGCCTAGACCCGTGGGGGAGTGAAGGAAGACTCAGGCTTACCTATAATCATGACCTCCCTGAGTCTTGCCTGCCAGACAAAAAAAGGTTGCAGGAACTCCTTTCCCGCCTGTCTTCTCTATCTTCCTCTTAGCAAGGTCGCCAGCTGGGTTATTATATCTGCACCCCAGCGATGCAGTTCAGTGGGTGTATTATATATTGTTGGTAGCCAGAAATGTATGCTCATAGAGAAATATCATAAATGGAGGCGCACTCAAACACAGTAATAAAATGTGTGGATTTACTGATGCAAATTACATGAACGCACACACACAATCACAAGTAATACATGAATATGGAATATGGATAATGAGCCTGGAGATCGTCAGCCTCTTCTTCCACGACCATCCAACACTCCTTCAACTGGGCAGGAAGACAGGAGTCCCACACTCTCACGGGAGGGCCTCTTCACCACGTCGGCACCTCTTCTTCACTGTCCTGCCATCCATACACACTGTCCTCTCTGACAGTCCTGGACCCAAGCTGCTTTGCAGCCTATTCTACTATTAAAGTAATAAAGTCTTGCTGCCACATACACAAGTAAATATTGTGGCCTAACTAGCCTACTCATACAAGGGGTAATGGGAGGGAAAAATGATCTACCTTACACTCCTGGCTCACGACGCCTGTCCCTCGATGGTGTGAGGTTCCCACGCTCCCTTGGGTCGATCCTCGACGATCCAGGACGTTCCACAGGTCCTCAGGTGTCGTGAAGCCTTCGCGTCGTCGCCGTTCCAATCCCTGAGATTCAGCTGCCCCAATCCTGGTTCATCGATGGGCGCTGAGCTAATCACTATTTTCCCCACACTCGCCTCTCCCACAGGGCGTCGCTCCTTGTCCTAGGCACTGTGTCGTCCTTCCAAGATTCTCAGTGGATGTGACCCCAGTCACAGCTAGCTTGAAATATTATACACAACTGCCCATACAGTTGTAACCCCTTGTAACCCCAGTTGCTCCCCTTGCCTCTCTGAAGGGGCCAGTTTATGGCTTGTGGTCCCCGGTAGGCCCACAGAACTCCATACACATGACTGCCCATACGCCGCCCAGCGTCGTCGCCGACTATTTTCCAAGTTTGGGCACTTCTCTGCTCACTGAACTTGGTTCCTCTTTTGCTTCCCAGAAGCGCAGGGTCTCCAATAACTGTGATAGGCTGCGCAGGCCAGCTCAATCCACTGAACAAGGCTTGCAGAGCCTCCAATCTTTGAGAGCAGACCGAGGCGCGTCCTGTCGCTTCCACGGTCAGTACAACTCTGACGTTGGCGCCGCCCGGGGCACTCGGTGACGTCATGGCGGGCCCTGATTTGTCGCCCGCGACCTACGTCGGCCAATCCGCGATCGGCTTGTCTCCCTTCCAAAAGGTCATATCTGCCGTAGGGGATACTGTTTCATTTTATAACAGGGCGCCAATTTTCCTTTATTTACAACTTATAATATAACCTCATTCCATTAAATGGCAGCCGGTCTGGTCGCCACATATGTCATTAGACTCCCTGAACCTCAGAGAATCAGTAGGGAGAGCTGATATGACTCTTTAAGCCGGCAAACGAAAGAAATAGGAGAGGGCACCGTAACAGTAGTTAGCTCCGGGGAGCCACAGGGGCTCCCCCCCAGAAAACCAGCGTTGAATGTAATGAAACGCCATTTTCTGGGTGAGACCCGGAGGCTTCCCGGCATCCCTCCCTCCGATCGGCGTTTTTTTGCATGTTTTGACATCCAGCCTTGAACTTAAGGGTGGATAGCCGGCGTGAGGGGTCTGGGGCTTCCCCTTCCCCCTCCTGGGGAGGGGGGGGGAGCTGCACAGACAGCGGCGCGGCGACGTGTGTCGTCATGCTTGTTTGCTCGTTTCTTTTAGGGGAGTTCTATCCTCTTGTTCGGCTTTTGGTAGCAATATTTTCACCAGAATAGGGGTTTGTTTTGGGATGCTTACCTTTCTGGGTGCCTGACCCGGTCGATGGCAGACATAGAATGCTTCCAACCACATGGAAGTTTCTATAGGCCATTGCTCCCCTTGCCTCTCTGAAGGGGCCAGTTTATGGCTTGTGGTCCCCGGTAGGCCCACAGAACTCCATACACATGACTGATGCCAAAGTCTGACATTAGCATATCAGCCTAGTAAGCTCCGGGGAGCCTCCGGGTCTCACCCAGAAAATGGCGTTTCATTACATTCAACGCTGGTTTTTTTGCTCAATGTGCAAGAGGTTATATTATTTTTGTGGAATGAACTTGTTTGCCTTAGAAATGTTTGAGTATTGCAGTTGTGTATAATATTTGTAGACCCTCAAGTGAACAAATGGCTGTTTTTACTTTGAAGTTTTTGGTAAAAAAATTATTTTAATTAAAAGTGAAATAAAAACTTTTTTTTTTATATCTTCAAGTGTATGATAGAAATACAGATTTGTGTTACTAACATCAATCGGTATGATAATACAGTGTAATCTTGCTCAAATGAACTACTTGCAACAAGTTCTGTCCCAGTTCTCAAAGTATTTTTTAAATTTGTCAGTATATTTTTTCTTACCCACTGATTGATCAAATATACAGGAAAAATATATAAATGCATTTTATATAGGAAGGCAAAGCTGGAAGAAGAGTCAAATGTCAGGGAAAAAATAATATATTTAACCTGGGTAAGGTAAGGTAATTATGAGGAGAAAAGCACCAAGCCATTACAACTATGCAGCACTAGGAAGGGATGATGATAAGGACTTAGGATGGAAGAAAGAAATGTGTCCAACTACTTGGATGGATTGAACATCGACCTGCAGGAAGTGAAAGCATCACTGTACTGTCCAATCCAAGTGGTAAGTGTGTAAGAGATACAGTGTAGGTTGAATACAGTGTATACAGTGTAGCTTAGAATAGTGTTGCTGAATGTAACACAAAACTCCCATAATGTGCTGCTTCGTGAACCACTTTTAAGTAAACTCGTCTGAATCCTTGTGCTTTGATTTCTTCAGCATTTTTCACTCTGAACTCTTACCACCAGTTTTCTCTTACTAGTCATTAAATTCCATGTAATCTAGATGAAAGTTATATGGGTGGATAGAGAAGAAAATTGTTGTAAACAAATGGAAATGGTGAAATAATTAATAATACCCAACCCCACACTTCTGAATAAAAGGAAGGTGATGACATTTCTGTTCATCCTAGACCTTATCAAGTCCCTGGTATTTTGTTTAAAATACCTGAGATGTATGATAAAAGTTGAGAATATGGTCATTCTGAAAAAAAAAAGGTCTGGTTCAATGAAAGCCTTGGTTTGGAAAAATAAGATAGGAATAGGTGCAACAAGATGTCTACATTAAAGAGTGGTGGTTGAGAGATGATGGTGTGATATAATAATGAAAACTATTGAGCTAGTGTAGTAGAAATTGGTATTCTGAGAAGCATGTGTGGTGATAGGAGAATAAACAGATAAACTATCATGGTTGTGAAAAAGTCAGTAAATTGCAAGATTGAGGAGAGAATACCAAGATGGTCTGAACATGTTAAATGAATGGATGATGGTGGACTGGTGAGGTGTGTGTGTGTCAAAGTGAATTTTATGTTAGGGTAGAAGAATATCACGCACATGTGAACTGACATGATAAGTGCGTGTTGAAGCACGGAGCAAGTGTGGATAACAAACAGGATATGGTAAGGGACAAGGATAAGTGGAAGCAATTTTGTAAGAATAGAGTAAATGTATTTGTATGTCGTTTATGTAATGATGAAATGTAGTACTGTGGTGCTTGTTTATTCATGATTGTGTTTATTGTACCTGTATTGTGATTGATATAAGGAAAAACTAGGGATATTTTTAAGGTCTTATGTAATACAGTACTTATTACAGCTCCCAGTTTTCCTGCATTACTCACATTTTTTCTCAGAGATGATGCCTTCCCGCCTTATGAAAATGGGAAACACGGTAATGTCTGCACATATATTTAGTTAAAGTTTAATATTGCCCAAAACATTAATAGCTATTTGTGGATATACACTAATTAAATTGGTATGGTAATAGGAAAAAAAATTGAAAAATATTAAATATGGGTAGAGCTTTGTTGCCATTGAATCAGGGCAGTTAAGGGCAGACACCATACAGGTATTTGTATCTCGGAATAAGGGTTCAGTTTACTGCAGTCCACCAGAATATGTTTACACTGTAATATCAGTACTCTTAATGTTTCTAATGCATATCAGTATGATATCAATGCTGTATTGCTGAAATTCAACAGTATAATATCCTGTGCAGTTTATTATTACCATTGACAGAGGCTTCTCCATATTATTTACTGTATTGTCAAATAGAATACTTGTGTATACTCTATTTATATTTTAAAAATCATTCTATTAAAAAAGTGCCATGTTTCAGTAAAGAATTAGTAGTAGTAGTAGTAGTAGTAATGATAATTAAATACTGTATTTCAATGGAGATTCTGCATTTATTTTGTCTTAATGATTAATTAAAAGCCTCAAAACCACAGGAAATGAAAGTCTGTCAGTTTAAGTAAGCTTCAGTTAATAATTTAATTAAAGTACAATAGTTCTTGGTTATACTTTTAGCAAGTACTGAGAGAGAGTTATTCAGGTTGGCATTTAATTTAGTTCATTCAGATCAATTCAGGTTTTTCCAACCTATCATTTACTACAAAATTATTATGTTGACTGTGCACTTAATAATGGAAGATATCTTAAAAGCATATTGTATATACTGGTGTATATAGTGGAGATAAATATTTATGGAAAATAATATTTGTTTGCCCTAGATAAGATAGGAAGTTATTTGGGGTCTTAACGAAAATGTGATAATTCTGCTGAAATATAATGCAAGGTGTGATAGCATGATGGTTAAGGTGTAGGGATATGACATGATGTCGATTGTGACATGACGCCAACTGTGACAATCTTGACCATGCCATGATACTTGTCATACCATGTTACTGACCATACATTGATGCTGACCATGCCATGAGACTTACCATGCTGTGATATGGACTGTTGCAATGCTAACCATAATGTGATGCTGACTGTGATGTGATGCTGACTGTGATGTGATGCTGACTGTGACGTGATGCTGACTGTGACGTGATGCTGACTGTGACGTGATGCTGACTGCGACGTGATGCTGACTGTGACGTGATGCTGACTGCGACGTGATGCTGACTGCGACGTGATGCTGACTGCGACGTGATGCTGACTGCGACGTGATGCTGACTGCGACGTGATGCTGACTGCGACGTGATGCTGACTGCGACGTGATGCTGACTGCGACGTGATGCTGACTGCGACGTGATGCTGACTGTGACGTGATGCTGACTGTGACGTGATGCTGACTGCGACGTGATGCTGACTGCGACGTGATGCTGACTGCGACGTGATGCTGACTGCGACGTGATGCTGACTGCGACGTGATGCTGACTGCGACGTGATGCTGACTGCGACGTGATGCTGACTGCGACGTGATGCTGACTGCGACGTGATGCTGACTGCGACGTGATGCTGACTGCGACGTGATGCTGACTGCGACGTGATGCTGACTGCGACGTGATGCTGACTGCGACGTGATGCTGACTGCGACGTGATGCTGACTGTGACGTGATGCTGACTGTGACGTGATGCTGACTGTGACGTGATGCTGACTGCGACGTGATGCTGACTGCGACGTGATGCTGACTGCGACGTGATGCTGACTGCGACGTGATGCTGACTGCGACGTGATGCTGACTGCGACGTGATGCTGACTGCGACGTGATGCTGACTGCGACGTGATGCTGACTGCGACGTGATGCTGACTGTGACGTGATGCTGACTGTGACGTGATGCTGACTGTGACGTGATGCTGACTGCGACGTGATGCTGACTGCGACGTGATGCTGACTGCGACGTGATGCTGACTGCGACGTGATGCTGACTGCGACGTGATGCTGACTGCGACGTGATGCTGACTGCGACGTGATGCTGACTGCGACGTGATGCTGACTGCGACGTGATGCTGACTGCGACGTGATGCTGACTGTGACGTGATGCTGACTGCGACGTGATGCTGACCATCCCTCAACACAATAGTCAGATCACTTGTTTATTCTATGATCAAAACCTCATTGTTGAGCTGGAAAGTTGGTCTGGTACTTTATACTCTAATGAATTAGACATAAGTAGATAATTAAAGTTACCAAAATCTTTTAAAATAATTCCTTAATGTGCAAACTTTGGAAATGATTATCATCTCTAAATATAGGCTGGAAAATTAATCATATTACCTGTTGGTGTCAACAACAACAAATATTAGGATCAACTGTATTTTGTATATTGAGATTATTTCTACCAAGTTTGAGATGTTATGCATTGCCATGAAAATCTTTGAAGAGGCTTTAACCATTGTTCCTGTAAATAGATGTAAAGACATTTGGCCACTCATGTAAACAGTTACAAAAAGATACCTAGAACCAATCCTGTATGTAGACATAAAAAGATGTGTTGAATAGTTAAGAAGATTTAATAACCTTTATTAATCACTAGCTATGTCCTTATGCAAGAGGATCAATGTTTTAATTGGAGATGATTGACAGAAATTCATTACTGTATTATATGCTTGGATTTATTAATATCAAGTAGTGTATAATTAGTATCTTAAATGTTCATTAAAGAGGCTTGTATCCTGCAAAATCACTGAAAGTAACACAGGTTATCAATGCAGAAAATCATAATGCAGTAAATTAATGTACTGTCATTAAATGCAATGCAATACCAGTATATTTTATCAATTAGGCTAAATAATACCGTGCATGCTCCTTCATCTGTCCCACAACCATGGAAAATCCTACTTAACATGAAAGTAGATATACAGTGGGTCATACAGAATACTGTAAGTGGTGTTTTGGTAGCTGCTGCTGTGGTCAAGTATCTTGTATCATGCTGTAGTGCAGCGGTCGCCAACCTTACGGAGCTCACGGATCACCAAATTCATAATTTTAAATCCCGCGGACCACTGATGTGAATCCCGCGGTACACCACACAAGAATTGATAGTTATTAAAGTCAAACTATTTGATGCCATTCAATATAACAGTTAAAGAAAATACATAGTTACAATACACAAATAAAACTGTCTCACAGCCCACCGGTTGGTGACCACTGCTGTAGTGCCTGTTACCCCTCTTTGGCACCCAAGCCACAAATGGGACCCCAGTCACAGAGGAAGGGGTCCTCACAGAAGAGCCACTCACCAAGAGCCTCCCATGTGCAGTGTGTGATAGAGCTCTATGTCCTGGAAATAACACGTCGGGATACAGACTCCCGCACCTAGTGCACCACAAAATGCTCCACAAACAAAGGTTATCAATTTGGATGCTCTCTTCCAACCACCAAATACTGTACTCGTAGGATTGGGTCTTAAGACCATTTCCCTAATAGTTGACCTCTTAACAGTTTCGTGCAAATAGGCATCAGTCTGTGTCCGTAATTTTTGTAACGTATGTGCACCTGGGACGCAGGTTGCGTCCCCTAATTAAAATATTTGTTAAAATTCTAATTTTTATTTGATCATTCTGGGACTGGTTTTACAATGAGCGCCTTTAGATTGTGCACAATATGATACCATAATGAACGACGTAGTATGATGTCAGGTGTTGCGGGAGTGCCAATGGGGGACTCTTGGCCGACTTTTGTCGTTGTTGCGGGTGGGACATGCCAGGGTTTTGGACTTTATATGCACATGTCCCTGTGGGTAATTGTATTGCGAACACATTGCTACCAAAATGGACTATGTAGCACGAGAATTGAGGTGAGAAAACTGAAAAGACTATACACATTTTATCGCTGTTTCACTCTCACGGCAAACGATCCCCGATTTTTGTGTTTGGTGCGGGTGGCATGCCGGGCTTTTGGACATTATATGCATATACTTCTGTGGGAAATTCTATTGCAAACAATTTATTGTAAAAATGGGAAAAAGAGTATACAGCACACATTTCAGTGTCGCCGTACGCTCGCCCGAAACGCCAGGAGTATTAGGGGAAAGTCTGTTGAGCACACGCGTGGTGCGTGAAAGTGTTGGTATCCTACATATATTTGCTTTAGGGAAGTCATTACTATTTCCACACATTGATTGTCGATTCTCAGCACTAGCAACTGCTTAACCCCTAAATAGTGCCTGTGTAAAATTAGTTGACAAATCAAATGGGAAAAATTGCATGTGGTGATTGGAGCACTAAAAAAAACCCAGAGTTAATGCTGAATGATTGCTGTCTCCTACTGCTTTGTGACATTCAAACTAGCCTATTAAATGTAATACAGTAAACCAATGATTCAAATATTTCTTTATAGGATTTTAGTTCTGTAGATGAAGGAAGTTGACATGTATCAAGACAAAGCTATATTGGCCTTCCTATCTAGAAAAGGAAGTTCAGAGATGGAATGTGATGTGAGAGAATAAATAAATACTGTACAATGAATTTTGAGGTACTGTATTTGGGTCTTGGTTATTTTGTGATGGATAGTTGTTACTGTTGCGGTAGTAGAGCCTGTTGCTGTGATTTTTGTGGTGCTATATTGTTGTTCCGTAGATGTAGACAAACCATTGTTTGGGACAAAAAGCTTGTTAGGCTAATGAAGTTTTACCTCAAAAAGGTGAGGCTATTCGCAGACACCTGTGCAGCTATTGGCCAAACCCAACGGTGCTATCTTGACGATTGGTATACACATCATCTGCTGTACCACGGCCACACAGCGGCAAAATATGATACAATACTGTACTGCCTGTTTTAATATACCGTAACCTTTGGGAGTTAACTCTGTAACTTTACAAGTGATAATATATTTTCAACAAGTCATTATTATTTCAGGCAAGTTGTTTTTGTCATCCAATTTTCAATACGGAAATTGATGGTGACATCACCGAATGGGTTTGATTTGTTGAAAGCTCTTCAGCAATGTTCCATTCATGAAACTGCCACTCAGTGAAAAAATCTTTCTCCTTTCATCAGTCATATACAATAACAAATATCAAAATATGAGTGTCTGAAATGTTATACATAATTAGTGACTTCATAAATATACAAATATTATGCCTAATAATTAATCACTGTAATCTAATCTATTGCATATCTAAAAATTATAATAATATTAATATTATTATTAATTATTATTGTTATTACAGTATTGAGAAACTTACTACACTTCCATAGTGTTTGAATGAAGGTGAGGGAAAGGCCTCATACATGGTGTACTATTAAACCAAATTTTGTAATGAAACCATATGAATGGTTTAAATGATAAATGTCCTTTATTTTTTATCAAGGTGTTTGACTGCACCTTGATTAAGAATGTAGGTTTCATCTGAAAATTTGGTTTAATATTACACTTACACATGTATTGGATCTTTCCCTTACTTTGATTATTATTATTATAAATATTATGCTGTTATACAGTTTTTAACAAACATGCATGTATCGAATTATGTTTTTCCTTCCACACAGCTGTGATCTTGAAGGTTCATACATTAAAGAAGATCTTCAGGAGAAAAGATGAAAAGCCATTACCCACTCACCTCCACACACATGTATAAATCCCAGTATATTTGGGCATTTGATTAATGGATAATTGTGAAAAAGCTAAAGAAATGCTTCATGAAATGAAACACTATTGATACCAAAGATGTTTCATGGTTGTATTTTAGCGAATTGAAGTCACTACATTCAAAAGAGGTTTTCATTTGGCTTTATAGACATTCATTAATAAGAAATTAAGTGTGGTGAAATAAGGAGCCTTGAGTTTCTCAATGAGTATATATTGTACTTTTCCATATGCTTCTGTATGAAAAAATGTGCACATGAACATTCTATAATTTTCATTAATAAAGAAATAATTTTTGAGCTTGTTAATGGCTCAGGACCAGCAGTCAGACATAAGGTATATGGCTGTGGTGACACTGGAACAAGAGCATCCCTGCAGGGTCATACATTGTGTGGGGCAGCTACAAGTCTCATCCAGTCCCAGGTATACATTTTGCAGAATTTAAACTGACTGGTTTTGTATTTTAAAGCTCACTAGGATAAACTTATTTGGTTACTGTGTGGTGGACTTCAAGCCCATCAGTGACCAGGTTATATGTAACTATGTTAACACTACATTAATGCTGGAGAACTTGGTTGTTAAAACCATTTAACCTTGTATATGGTCCTGTAGCACAGTGGTCTACATCCTCAACTTGCAATCCAGGATCCCAGATTCAGTCCCCAGTTGAGACAGAAAGGAATGGGCACGTTTCCTTTCATCCGATGCCTTTGTGCACCTAGCAGTAAAATAGGTAGTAAGAGGTTAGGCAGTTTTTTGGATTGCATCCTGGAAAAGGTCAGTACAGTAGTTGACCTAAGGGGGACCTCAATAAGCCTATTATTCCAAATAAGCCAATGGGAATAATAATACTGTAATACAGTAATAATAATAATAATAATAATTATTGTGAAAATCGGTATGAGCCACGTGGAGGAATTGAACCTGCTCACTGGGTACTCCCAAATACATGTCTTTGACCACCTAACCATAATATGCTCAAAAGCAAATGAAACCTGGGATTCCACTGAATCCTCTAGGGTCCTGAGGCTTCCATTGAAGCCAATTCAGGGTTTCACTCATTGCTTGCATGCACTCTGGCTGATATAGGAATTCTGCCCCCTATCACTTCTCTTCAAATGCACAAAGAAATTGCATTAATGTGATGTATCAATGAGAAAATCAGTAGGAGCCCTCAGGAGGATTCCAACCTGCACACTGTGTACTCCCAAGCACATGCCCAAGACCGCTTGAGAGTACAGTACTTGGAAGTATTTGGGAGCACTAAACATTGATTGAATAGAATCTTTATTTGTAAAAAAAAATTGTTGCAGTTTATATTTGTATTTCTATAATGTCACTAACATCTTAAAAAGATAAAATGACCTGTGAGTAAACATGAAACGTGTCACAAAGTATGGGGTACTGAGAAATAGAATCACATCAAGACCATAGATCTTGATGCATCTCCCTGGTATTATTGAGAACAGGAAGACCCACCAGTTTCCTGTTCCCATTGAGGCCAATAGAGATAGTGGCCCTCGGGTAAATATGCCATGCTAATTAATATTTGGACAGACTTTAGGAAACTATATAAGGATGTATTAAGAACATAGTCACCTTATATCTTCGGTACTAGAACATGCAGTACCAGAATGGAGACAACAATGTTCTTTTAGAATTAGAGGTTCAACAAAACACTAGTCATAACCTGAATGCTGTGAATTTATAAAGTAGGTATTTTCCAGATAATGATAATGTTTAGGCTGAGTAACAAAATGAAAGGGGAATTCATTGAAGCAAAGAGAATCCATAAAGGTGTTAGAAAGTATGGGGAGAAGTTAATGGTTCGACCCTGCTGCTATGTCGGTGCCTCTTCACCAATGTATCTGACACTATTCACAAAGAACGTTGAAGGATTTGAGGTAGATCA